TACTTTTATAATAGCAGCATCAAAGAAATTTTAAAAATAAACTAGGCCTTGAGTTTAACCTTAAAGGATAAAAAAGGGGCATATTTAAATTCAATTTCTTAATAGTTATATGTATTCACCAACTATGTAATAACAATGGATAATATTTATGGACTGTTTAAGTACCAAAACTCTGCTACTTTTATTCGTTTTATTATCTCACTTTTAAACTCATAACAATCCTATGAGATATGGGTCCATGCTTACTCTATTCTAAAGTTAAGGAAACTGAGAGAAGAAAAACATTAACTAGTTTGCCTAAGGTTGCACCTCTAGGAAAGCACAGGGCCGGTAATCAATCCCATCCAATTAGACTCCAGATTCCAGAATTTAACTAGAATAGCACCGGCCCTGTGCAAAAACTGTACAAGACACTGAATTAAGGTTTAGTGAGAGATTCTCAGCTGAAGTTGTCTAACTGAAGCTCTAAAGACTGCTCTAGAGTGAGAAGGACCCATATGCAGCAACTGAAATACAATTGAAGAAAGCGTTTGATAAATTTTTAAACATATGTACAAGTCAGGCACTATGGGACCACAGTAGTGGGTGAGATTAGTTTAGCTGATGTGATTGGGGAAAACTTCATGGAATAGGTAATATTTAATTTTGACTTTGAAGAAAAGGCACAATTTTGAGCATTTTTATCACTCTGATACTTTGGGAGAGACAGACGATATGTCGCTGCTATGAGTTTGAAGCAAAAACTCCAGTGGGAATCGAGAAAGAACTTTTTTCTCCTTTTCATAAGACAAAGCATGCTTTGCTACCAGAAAAGAAAAAAAAAATTAGGCGCACAGTCCTTTAGATTGTTGTGGATGTATTTTACTAAGAGAGCACTTTGTTTCACACATGCTGCATTACATTAAAGTATATTTCACATGGAACTTTCTTCTAATCACATGTGATTTTGATATAATGCAATGCTGCCCAATGGATTAATAAAATCAATGTTCTAAGAGTATAGTTATGTGCTTCATTGAATTCTTATAAAATAATCTGTAGAAGAAATTAGACTAACATTATTTTGAGCTAAGGGAACACTTTGTGACGAGACTGGAAAAACAATTTAAAAACACAATTTTTTGATCAATCTGCTAAATTATCTCTTTTGGTTTGTCTCTTCTGTCTCTGCCCCAGACCTGGATTCCTTACCTTAGAATCACTTAAGAAAGTAAGCCTTGAATCCACCCCCATGCTAGACTTCTCCTGCCCCATCTAATCACTTTTTACTTAAAGATTTAGTGGAAGAATATGTTTCTGGAACCAAACTATGATATCTACCTGGTAATTCAGTCTACCCTGAAATTTTCAGAGACTTCTGGGTCAGGTTCTTGATGTGCCACTGGCCTCACATATATCCACAAAGTTGACATCTCTGACAGAAAGCCTCATTCTCAGTGATGCCTCCTTTATAAATATATCTCTGTGGACACAGGTCAAAAGGTAGGTAGGGGCAGCAGAGGTGAAAATAGAAACAAATTTGGAAAGAAAATAGAACTAATTTTTGAAAACTTGTGAATTTCATGTTTAAAAATATGAACTTTATTAAGTAAATTATTTAACTTTACTGAAGCTTGGTATAAGTGCCATGATATGACACTGTGTTGTGTCACTGGCATTGTAAACACAATCAAGAGCATATGAGAATGAAGGAAGGTAATTCCATCGAGAATATTGCATTGATTAAAATATGTGGTGACAGAGGCCAGAAGTGGACAAATGAAGTGAAAATTAATCAAGAGGGTGGATGAAAGGGGAGCTCAAGAGACAGCACGAATAGAAAATGGTGCCATTCCTAAGGGATGGGTAGTAGCAGCAGGTGACTGTAAAACGTTCTGCTTGGGAGGCTGACAAGTTTAATTCACTCAGGAAAACTGTATTGAGTATCTGAGATGTGCTTGCCTCAGAAGGAGGCAATTGAATACAGAAACAAAAGCAGCAGTCCTTACCATCAGGTAGCTGTTAGTTGATAATGGAAGATCAATACTTACAACAATATTGGTAAGTAGTAGAACTTCAAAAAATAGTTTTCATGCTTATGGCATGAAAATATGATATTTAGGAAATGCTTAAACAAATAGGTGACGACCGAATGAGTTATAAAGGATAGATATGCATACCTTTTCTAGACATAGTTGGATAGGGAAAGGATATTCTCAGTAGAGCGACCAATAACTTCAAATGTAGAGTGATGAGAAAAACTTGATTTTTAAAGGTGTTATTCATGCCTATAAATTAGAGTTCAGTAGAAAAAGAAGGAAGAAAAAAGTAAAATATTAGGTGATCAGGGAGCTTTTCATGAAAGATTCCTGTGGATATTGACTTGACTTAATGCAGGAACATTAAAGGAATTTAATCAAGGAAGTTTGAGGTTTAGATTTATATTTCAAAAAGCTCTGGGAGAGCATCATGGAGATTTAGTTAGGGAAATATTGCAAAGAGGGAAGGAATAGTGAGGACCTTTACTAATGGAGGATAGAGCCAAAGAGAATAGAGATTAGAAAACAGATTAAAAATGCTTTATTAAGGGAATGAAATCAATAGTACATGATGACTAAAAATATGTGCTGAGATTTTACTTCTTCAGAAAGGCCTTGCCTCATAAAGCTAACTAAATAGCCACCTATGGCAGAGGCATCTGCCTACCCCAAATCCTTTCCCCACCATCCTTAATAATGCAATGCATCTCATCTGGTGAAACAGTAAAAGAGATGGCACCCTTTCAGCATGATGTAGCCAACTAGAGTTAAGTGAACGCGTTTTCTGGGGACTTCAGGAATATTATTAAAATGTGCTAGTCTCCTTTGACTCTGCCTGATTTTTTTTCTTCTGTGCTTCATGTTTTCTGTTGCCTGGAATTTAGACTCAACAGCTGAAGCCCCAGCAGCCTTCACCAACTCAGGCTGACCTTTAGTTGGAAGTTCTTTCTGAGACATATAGAGAAATGTAACTCATGAGTCCCTGAAGAAATCAATGCCACCATACACTCTTTGGACTTCCTAAAAATGGATTTTCTCTGTAATGAAAGAGAAATAAATTTCAATATCAAGTCACAGTTATTTTAGGTTTTTTGTTTTATGTAGCAAAGTCTAATCATAAATGACATAATCTCCTCTAACCATCATTGATCTTTGTACTTTCCATTATTTAAAACCATAGTCTTTATTTTTACTTACTCATTTTCAATCCTTCCCCAGTAGATCATAAGCAGTATAAGAGTTATTGTTTATCATTCTACCCTCAGCATCTAGAACAGCACCTACCATAAATTGTGTGGCCAATAAATATGTTTTAAATAACTAAATGAATAAATAAAATAGTAGATACAGAATAAGCAAAAATATCAAATACTGGTTTCTGGCTTTGGAGGTTATCTGGATGATATAAAAATTTTTGGAAATGGAAAATGAAAACAGTTGCTCTGAGGAAAGAATGAGTTCAATTTTTATCATCTTGAACCTGATGTACATATTTCACATCCAAGCTGAATCATCCAGTGAGGAAGTTAGGTACAAGGACTTAGAGTGCAAAGGAGTGTGCTGGGCTTTGGAATAACATATTACTAAGCAACAGAGCACAGATGATAATTTGAAGTTCAGGGAAGTGATGAAGCTGTACAGAGGAAGCACTGAAAGCAGAGCCAGAGAAACACATTCTGTGAAGTAGAAGTGGTGTTTAGAAAGTCAAGAAGACAGGTAGGCATATCCTGCAAGAAGAACAGGTTAGGGTTGGAAGTAAGAAAGAGTGGTAAACAGAACCAAATTCTTGACTAGAAATAAGATATGGTTTGGACTTTACAGGTAGAAGATATCTGTATATATTGGGGCAACAGTAGATTTTGTGAAGTAAAAGAGAAAATTACATGGAAACCAAATTGAGATATTGAATGTAGACTACTGATTCGTTAGACCGTACCAGGGAGGCCGGGCGGGGTGGCTCACGCCTGTAATCCTAGCACTCTGGAGGCCGAGGCGGGGGGACTGTTCAAGGTCAGAAGTTTGAAACCAGCCTGAGCAAGAGCGAGACTCCGTCTCTACTAAAAATAGAAATGAATTAATTGGCCAACTAAAAATACATAGAAAAAATTAGCCAGGCATGGTGGCACATGCCTGTAGACCCAGCTACTCGGGAAGCTGAAGCAGGAGGATCACTTAAGCCAAGGAGGTTGCTGTGAGCTAGGCTGACGCCACAGCACTCTAGCTGGGCAACAGAGTGACACTCTGTCTCAAAATAAAAATAAAAACAAAAACTAAACCAGGGAGGCAATGAGAGCAATATAGTAACATTGAGAAAGGACCATAGGTTTCAGGAAGAAATGTTTATTTATTTTAAACAGTAGACATTTGATATATTTGTTATTTAATGAAAAGTAAACATAAATAAAAATGAAGAAGTTCAAAACACAGGGAGATGTGTATAATATTTATGGAGCAAAAATCTGTCCACACCCTGAAAGATAGATGCTTGAAGTCAGTATTTTGTAATCCTAACCTTAGAAGTAGAAAAGAGACAATTAGGTTTATAGACTAAAATTCTGACTCAATTCTTGTTGCTATTTTTCCAGGTCATTTTGAAATTGTAATGGAAATGTTCAATCTGACATTTTTTTTCTGGAATGGCTTATTTTTCAATCCATGAAGGATATGACAGGTGATCGGCTCCCTTCTTTGACACAGAGTAGATATTCCCAAAATGTCTCCTATGGGACACAGATGTTATTCAGACTGAAGCCGACTCTCTGCACAGGAATGTTGCATCCCCACTTTTGAAAACATGAATGTGGAAGCTGAGGGTATAATATTTAAAATATCTATGGTGATGGTGTTGAAGTACAGAAACAGGAAGGAAGCAAAATTTATAAAGTGCCTACTATTTGTAATAGTTTGATCAGTGCTCACGTGAAGAAATAGCAATTTTATATAGACAGTGAGGTTGAGAGGTTCAGTAACTTACCCTGGGGACAGAGCTAGTATTCAATGAAACCAATATACAAACACGATGTCTTTGATGATAAAGTCCATGTTCTTTCACACACACCATTCTGCCTCCTTAAAACTGATTCTTTTGGAAAATTACTCATTGGCATGCATATTACAAAGTTGTGATCTATCATCAGTTCACTGCCTGTGTAGAATAAAGCACTTACATTATTAGGGGTCTATACTCATGGTAAAAGTTTATTAAACTAAACAAACAGTGCTATGATTTAAAAAAATAAGGAAACACTCCAAAATGTTGTGTTTTAATACTTAAATTTAACATAAAACCCCACAAAGTTTACTCTTACCAAAGGCTATAGTTACAATTCTGTCTCTTGACAAAGAAACAGGTAATAAATGCTAAGAAAATGATATTGACTCTCTGGTTTTCATAAACATTCTGCTTTTATCTATATGCTTCATACCACTTAGATGATTGACCAGGGAAACTATTATCCCTAGCAAGGTATTATACTTTTAAGGTAATGGTTTTGTGAATAACTAACTGTCTCTCAGTATTTGGTAAGTTCTTTCCACTCTAAAAGTAAAGCTTAGTGGTTGAAATACATTCATAAAAAGAGAATTTCTGGGTAAATAAAAATGCAAAAGAATAAATGTCCTTTAAGCTTTTATAGGAAAGTAAGTTTTATTTGATGTCAAGAACTTTAAAATAGTATTTCTATCTCATGGTGCCACAGTTCACATTGTCAAATGTTAGTTGTTATGATTTGATAATGAATGAAATTAATTCTACTTGTTTATGCGAGGGACTTTGCCATTTTGCCACAGGCTTAAGAAATTTGTTTCAAATTGAAAAAGGATTCTGATTTTTAAATATTAGGCAAACCTATGTTGTTTCAGACACTGAAAGTATCCGAAAGAAATTTTATGATGTGAAAATGTCCAGGAATGTTATTCATTACAACAATACTTGAAAAGCATTATCTCTTGGTGCATCTTTTATCCTCCCATAAAAACAAACATTCTTTGAAAAATATAAGAGGTACTCTTTGAAATCATATATTTGTTCTTACATCCAAGGAAGACATTTTATTTATTCTACAAATACAAAAATTTAAAATGAAATGAAAAGGTAAGGGGCTAGATATATGCAAATTTCAATTAGGATTTTGAAAACATCTCTAGGATATAATGTATCAGAATACTAAGTGAAGTAAGGATAGTATTGGTTACTGGTATTGGTTACTTTTCTGGAGATCTTAAGATTTCTATTATGGAGGGCAATCTGTGTGTCCTTCCACTTCAGCTCATCTGAATGGCCTTCTGAATCCTTTGGTACAGCCTAGTGACTGAATCCAAACTTTACAAAACAAATCCTTTTAATAAAGTTCTGTAAAGTTTGATTCAGTCAAAGAGCCACACTTGGGGATCTGGGGGGCTACAGGTTCTTCACCCTTAGTTCAGACCATAACATCTGTAAAGCTTTGACTGGCTTGATCTTTGACTTGACCAACTCTGTCATGTGATGTGAACTTAGGTAGAGCTTAGGATATTGACTATGTGATTTAGGAAATAAACTCTAAAACAAATCATCAGGAAGTCATGGAGGTGCAAGAAAATAATAAGATAATTTTGAGAAGGAAATTTCAATTTCAAATTATTGCAGGTAAGCAATGCAAGTCCAGTTATTAAAAAATTAAGGATGAAAGCTTAAATGGCCACTATATTATTATTATTATTATTGTTTATTTCAGCATATTACAGGGATATAAATGTTTAGGTTATGTATGTTGCCCTTGCCCCACCCACATCAGAGCTTCAAGCTTGTCCATCCCCCAGACAGTACACACCGCTCCCATTAGGTGTGTATATATCCATCCCCTCCCCCTCCACCTGCCCAACACCACATTTTATTAATCTACTCATGTATTGATGAGCACTTGGGTTGTTTCCACATCTTTGCAATTGTGAATTGTGCTGCTATAAACATTCGAGTGCAGATGTCTTTTTTATAGAATGTCTTCTTTTGGGTACATGCCCACTACAATATTATTAATAACTACAGCTATGCAGTACATTAGATCTCTAGATGTACACATTGTATATAGCTACTTTTTACTCTTTTATATATATTTGTTGTTTTAAGATGCTAAATGTTGGAGTAATTTGCAATGAATAAATTATCTTTAGTCTTCTGATAACTTGTTCACATACTAAAATCAGAGATACTTTTAACAACAATTTCTAAATATGAGTATTTTTATCATGTTAAATCCTGATATTTTGAAATGTACAAGTAAATAAGTCACTGTGTTTAAGATCCATTGGTTCATTTCAGTATTTAACAGAAGGCTGTAGTAAAAGGAGCTCTTTTAAATTTCCTTCAGTAGTGCTAATAATGTCAGTTATATTTTCAAAAGTATTAATCAGCCGGGTGTGGTGGCTCACGCCTGTAATCCTAGCACTTTGGGAGGCTGAGGCGGGCGGATTGCTCAAGGTCAGGAGTTCGAAACCAGCCTGAGCAAGAGCGAGACCCCGTCTCTACTATAAATAGAAAGAAATTAATTGGCCAACTAATATATATATATATAAAATTAGCCAGGCATGGTGACGCATGCCTGTAGTCCCAGCTACTCGGGAGGCTGAGGCAGTAGGATCGCTGAGCCCCGGAGATTGAGGTTGCTGTGAGCCAGGCTGATGCCACGGCACTCACTCTAGCCTGGGCAACAAAATGAGACTCTGTCTAAAAAAAAAAAAAAAAAAAAAGTATTAATCAGTTAGTACTTAGGGAGACCTTATATAAAAGGTCAATTCTAACTTATTTATCTGACAATGAAGGATTCAAGGTAATGTTAAGTAGCTTGTCATAGATGTAACTAATAAATATTAGCATAAAACTACAATGTTGTTTCTCATCTTATTTTCCTGGTTGAAGGACATAGATAGCCAAATAACACAGAATCATTTTTATTATTATTATTATACCCAAATTATTCCACAGCTTGTTGAGGGAACATATTCAAAATGCAGTAAAATTATAAAACATTGGATTATAAAAGAAGAAATTCTTGATGCAAAAATGCAATATAGATATGAAGATCAATTGATATATGTGAGTTCTGAAAATTTTAGCAGTCAATAAATAAATAAAAATGCAATTAGTTGCATGGTTCATTATCTATTCTAAAACAATTCCAAAGGCTTTCTCAAATTAATTGCCATGTAGGGTTTCTCAGGTAATTGTTAGACAATATGCTCAAGAGCAAATATAAAGAAAATAAAGCACTAATTTTAATGAAGTTGTTTCTTGTAGCTTCCTTTGATTAAATCTGCAACACAGAAAATGAAAGTAATTCTTCAAGGTCAAGTTCACAAACATACTGCTCCAAATACATAGATTTCTGACCATCAACTAGATTCATTTATGTGTCCTACTTTTCCTGGAATCAAAGTTTTACTGGATAGTCTTCAATTGACAGCATCACTTCTCTTACCCAGTTTATAAATAACAGTTAAAAACATAAGTTTGAATTGATGACATTTTTGTTTTAAAATGGCTACTAATGCTGTTATTATCTGCTTAGGACATAGGATCCTTCATCACAGAGCATTTAATGAGGTGGGGGAGGAGGAGACTTCACCTGGACTCCTTGTGTAATGTTTCATCTTTTTAAATTATGGAAAAAACACTTGATTTTAGGGGCGATAGATAACCTGTGCAGACTCAAATTATGATGATCACAAGATTTTTAAGGTATCATTAAAAGGTGATTTCTGTGGGTGGGGGGACTGGCAAATTAAGAACAGTTTATCTGGAGAATGTACATTCATTTCACCTACTTAACCATATAGAGGAGAATTTCAGTAGATAATATCTATAGGTGAGAATTTTTTTTTGAAAAAGTATCATTGCGCTAATTAGAACTATAGATATAATTAACCTAACAGAAGAATTAAAGTAGCTGAAACTCATTACCTGTGAGGGGAGAGAATTAGTATAGAAATGGGTAGGTCAGAACTATACCTACAGTGTTTCTTTGACATTATATAATATGCAGACATATTGCTTTGATACAAATTAATGTTAATTTAGACTGCAATTAGTACAGTCTCCAGTAAATAATAGGCAGTTAAAAAATGTTGGTTCTTTCCTGTAAGAGCTCCAACTTAAATGTCCCTAGATGTATATTGTTTTTAGATATAAAGCCTATGGTCTACTATGCATATATCCTACTTATTCTCTTTTTCTTTCTGGTTCTTTCTCCATCTTTTAGTTCATAGTGGTGAGTGCTATCTAATGAAGACCCAGGAAACTACATATTGGTGTTGAAAGAGCAAGTTGTGATTTAAAATTGTGAGGCAGAGTGCTGAGGTAAAGGAAGGTTTAGAATTGGCTAGGATTTTTCAGGAAATTGCGCTGGTGAGCTTTTTAAACAAGCATTCAGAAAAGATATCCTGTAATATAGAAAAGTAGTGAGAGGTATAAGAGTATAGACAGTGAGAATGACTGTCAGAGGTTTCAGAGGCAAGATTGATATGATGTGTGGTCAACTGCAAGCAGATTTTTATGATTTAAATGTGGGAAATGTTTTCAACAAGTAACATACAATTATATCTTTAAACATGAAAGAAATAGTATTTGATAGACATCTTTACTTTGTGTTTGCTGGGGAATTTAATAAGCCTTGAATGTCTCTGAGGAAAAATTTAAATTAGAATTTGAAGACTGTGATTGCAGTAGGAATATGCAAAATAGTTTGAAAGGGAAGAGAGGCAAGATAACTTCTTTATGCTCTGAATTTTCTCCATAACACTAGCTATATCTCTTAGTTCTATTTTACTTTTTTTTTTCTTTATTCATTAAGGAAACACCTCATCTCTGTATAAAAGGAATACTGGGCTCATATTTATCAAAATATAATACTAATTTACAAACACTAATTTGCATTTGTTGGGGAGGTTAAAGATGTTAATGATTCACTAAGTTCAGGAGAATTAAAGTTCAATTTTCATTTGATCTTCTTCAAACATTAAGATTAATTAAATAACATTAAAGAAATGTAGATTTTCTATCTCTAAAATCTTTAGCTCTTCCAAAGCAATATTATGTAAAAGTGCATGTTCATTTATTTATATCTCCTGATTCTACAAGGTATTAATCAGTTTATAAGAACAGATGCAATA